TATATATTATATATATATATATATATATATATATATATATATATATATATATATATATATATATATATATATATATATATACTTTAATGTGACCATATCAAACATCAGGATTTGGGAGAGAACATACGTAAGTTGAACACAATTTGGCATAAAATTCTGTATTTTACAGTAGAAATAAAATCTGAGGAGGTATAGAATTACGCAATTATATGCGTTACAATTTAACTTGTAGTATTATCATCAATATGTTACTGAGAATGTCTCAAAAAACAAGAATTTGGAGTGAACTAATGTAGAACTTAACTTTGTTTAAAAAAAAAGAAATCTGTTGAACCTAAAAGAAATTCTACATGGAATGATGAAAAGAATTGTACCACTTTGTCGATTTGATCGGAAATATGAAGCGTGCAGTTTTAGCCGAGATTTCACGTTTTGTGTCATTCGGATATCTGATGCTCAGTATTATCTGTACCAACATCTGGAACAGGTCTCGTTGAAGAACTGCATCATTTTTTTATGAGACTGAAGATGAGAAATTGTGAGTAGTTTGAGAAGCGGAGACGAGAACGAAATATGATTTGGTAAGGTTAAAGGGAGAATTTATGCTCGAGAGTAGAGGCAACCATAAGATTGGATGGCATTAGGATGGTAAGGATAATTCACCATTTTTGTAGAAGGGCAAAGAGCGACACTGACCTGCTCATTCTCTTTCTATTCGAGTATGATTCGAAAATTTTCTTTTTTTTCTGAGAGAGAGAGAGGTGGGTTAATTAGAAGCAAATAGGTCTTCTTATTGATTATTTTCTCTTTAGAGGTGTTGGTGATCCTCTTTGAAGTTGGGGTCAAAGGAAATAGCGCACGTAGACTTGATTATTTCGGAATGAGATGAAGAGCATCCATTGTGGATTCACTTGGCAGTTCTTGCTAGTGCATCAAAATACTATGTTTTCGCGTCCTAGTCGCTTTCGATAACACCTCAATTTGGTGACGATATGTTCAGATGCATCTTGGATGTGGAAAATGGTGCTTTGTGGCCTTTACAGGTGATAGCAACCCGCCTAACAACGGTGCCATCGATGTCGCGGGATGATGAATTAGCGGCTGAAGAGTTATCTTTTGTTGGATTCAACCAGGATGCTACGTAAGCACCGTTTTTTAAGAGTATATCAGACAAGTTTTAATTGAAAGAGTTGATTAATTATGATACGGTACATGCGACTTGGATATAAGCATGATACCGTGACCTTCGCAAATATCGAGAAAATTTGCTTAAGGATGTAATTAAAGTTTTTTGAGAATACATCAGACAAGTTTTAATTGAAAGAGTTGAATTATGATGCGGCATATACGACGTGGATATAAGCATGATACTGTGGCCTTCGCAAATATCGAGAAAATTTGCTTAAGGATGTAATTAACCAAAGAGAATCTCTTTTGCACCATTATAGATAATGCTGTTTTTTTTTCATGGGAAGGGTTCGTTTCTACTTCGACAGTGTTCGAGTATTCCAGTTGCTGAGTAATCAATTTAGTGATAACAAATAATTTGGTACCATTACAGATCACTTGCTTTGGGTGCAGCATCCAGTTATGCGTTGTATTCGATCAAAAAAACTGATAAACTTGACTTAATTCACGAAAGTTACAGACAGTTTTCAGATGACAAGAAGAAGAATGTAGGTAAGATCGATTACTGTCGTTATGTCTTTGAGAAACCGAAAAGTTTCTTGTCAAGCTTTAAGGAATGCAAGAATTGAATTGAGGAGGAGGATATCGGGACTGTTCTAATTCCATTTCGTATAAAATCTAACATCGGCTTTCTGCTAAAAAAACGGATTTGTCAGTGTCAGGACAGTTCCGAGCTATGATATAAAATGCGTTTCAGAAATTTCAAATAATCCTTTCTGAACTGTACAGTATGTCGCGTAATAAAGTTGGTAAGAATTGAGCAGCCATTCAGATCACCCAATGGGGATCCTATAACATGTATAGCTGCGTTTTATACAATTATAGCTGTAACTTCAGAAAATTCAAATGTTAAACTTTTGCTCGTACATTCGAAGTAAATAATGTTTTTTATTGTAATTGTAGAAGTTTGCGAGATTATGCTTATTGAGCGTCTCTTTTCATCCAGTCTTTTAATGCTGGTGTCGACGCAGGCACCACGTAAGCTACGGATTTATCACTTCCAGAAAAACAATGAGATTTGTGCTCAAAGCTACACAAATACAGTACTAGCAGTGAGATTAAACCGTGACGTAAGGCTTTTTCATTGTTTCGGAAGTTCTCCTGTCTGTAGATTAGAAGTTAATGTGAGGTGTTTTGAAAACAGGAAATAAGTCTTTTATTTTTTTTTCCATTTTTCATCTTATGGTAAGCAATATCAGTCATGCTGTTCAGAAAGTGAAAAAAATATGTTTCGATCTATCTGAAATGGATTTACATGATATAGCTTAGGTGATACATTTATTTGCAGTATATGGTTGTTTGTTTGGAAGACATAGTATATATTCATACGGTTAAAGATATGAAGGTGATTTTTTTTTACTTTGTTTTTTTTCTTTGCAGCACGTATGTGAAGTTTATTTTAATTTCCAATAAGCTTATCCTTAAAATTCCAAAAATTCATATATGCATGAATAGTTGCAAATCAAATTATTAATTCACCAGCAGCTGAACCACTTCAATATCTACAAAAATATGTAAATTGAGCAATAGAGATGATTGTATTGAGTTAAATACACACTAGTCTTACACATCGCATGCACTTTCAAGCTATTGTTTTGTACCTTGTAGAACGAAAAAAATTAAGCAGTGTTATGCTTGTAATTAATCAGGAACACAATAAAGACATAACGATAATCAAAGTAATTTTCAAAATCCTAACAAGTTTCCTTCAATATGGAGTGCTACAGAAGTTGGTATGAAGTGACATAATTTGGATTGCGGTGGTCTGAAAGGAATCATGGGTGTCGAGCTTGTAGTCTTTTGTATGAAGATCGGTTATTCGTGAAATCATGTTACTGATTTTCACGAATAACTGTTCCAAACGTTGTATCATGTAAAAACTTGCTTAAGCGTCATCGCTTAGACAGTTTGTTCCCTAAAGATAAAGGAAAATAAATTTCAACTTGAAAGCATGAAATAGAGAGATTCCTGAAGGAATTTTCGCTATGGAGCAGTAGGGAGATTTTTTAGTCAGCTGATTTCAGTAGTTCCAAATTTTTGGAAATTTCTGATTCATTGTTGAAGAATTTATTTGTTGATATACAAATTATGCTTTCAATAATGTTCCTCAATTCTGAAAGGACAACTCGCTGTTATTAAATGGATTATTAAGTTACTACAGACACTTCCAGTAGGAATGAACTGCGGAAAAATTCTAAGGCCTACATATCTGAGGAATGGATAGCTTGCATGTGGTCGCGTTTCGTAATTTCGAAATATTCATTGGATCTTTACTGATAACATTCACTGAGCGATTTGATCCACCTAATCTGTTCTCATGTATCCTTATCGTTTATCAAATTCAAGTCATGACTAACGATAATGCTTTTTTTTTGCATATGAAATAACTGCTAACCTTGCGTATGGCGATATATATTGAACCATCTGTGTGGAAATAAATTCATAATTTTACTGAAGAATGAAGGGAACTTGTTTATGAGATGAATTTATGCAAAACAAAAGTATCTTTCATTGAGGCCGATATTTTTCCGGTCATTCATACAATCCGTGATACGCCTTCAAATACCAATGGTATCGTCGATTTATCATCGACCGTCAATTCTTTTTTAGCTTATCCAGGCTCAATCAACAATGGCCATGGTAAAATTTTTTTGTTTTTTCTCTGTCAGTAGTATCGTTAAAATGCAAAATTCATACAGTTCTTTTCTTTCTGATTCAACATGACTGAATGAGAGAAGTGAGGAATATAGTTGCACCCATGATAAAATGAACTGCGGCAGAAAGAACACTTTGCATTAGTAATAAATAGCCTAATAACAAATAGATGAGTGTTTGTTGGTGGGGGAAATCTTATAATCTACTCATTCATAAACTAACACTATATACAACTGCTTTTTCTATGTAGGGGGATAGAGTAAGATAGGGACAAGTAGATAATTCCAAAACTAGTGTTAATTTTAGTATTTTTTGCAATATTTTTCAAGTTCAATTATTTGACGTGACACGTTTGAATTCGATGAATACAATTTCGGCGCATACCAGTCCATTGGCGGCGTTACGTTTCAGTTATGATGGCAAAAAGTTGGCTACTGCTTCAACTCGTGGTACTGTAATTCGTGTATTTGACACCGAGTCTGGTGATCGGTTGTATGAGTTCACAAGGGGCGTTAAAAGGTAATTTTTACAAGTACTGAAGATTTTATTTACTAGGTTGAAGTGGAATAAATGAATCAATCTTCAGGTTTGTGAGTATATATTCACTGGCATTTAGTATCGATGGTAACTATTTGTGCTCTTCAAGTAATACCGAAACGGTCCATGTGTTCAGGTTGGAAGCAACAGCTGATCCAATAAATGAGTAAGACATGGTTGTATGATAATTTTCCATTCTTTTGAAAAAGTAAAACTTTGACATTATTTTGATTTCATTTATTTTTTAAAGGTTTTTTATTTTTGTTTTATGAATTAAATGGCTCAAATTTGAAATTTTGACTAGTAACGCCATTTATGTCTTTTTTTTCTTAATTTTAGAAATCTTTTTTTCTTGGCTGTGGTCGACTATTATCGCTTTTTATACTTTATGCAATCATGCGTTTCGCTCACTTTTTTTAAGCAGAAAACATTGGTTTCCAGACCATATGAAATAACAATAGTCGGTTATTGTTTATGAATTAGGATTTAGGATTGCTTGTGATACGGCTAAGTTTCAGAAATGAGGACGAGGAAGAACAAGGATGGGTAGATTATTTATCAAAACAGGCGAGTAGCTACTTACCGGCACAAATGAATGATCTTTGGTTGCGGGGAAAAAGTTTCGCTACTGCAAGATTGCCGTCAGTTGGAAAACGAAATGCGGTTGCGCTATCAGTGTAACTTTTCTGTGTAACTAATATATTAACTAAGATGTCTGGCATCTCATAACTGATATATTTCCCATGTGAAGAAATTTGGTATTCCGGTAATCATGTAAGATGACTTGTAACCCTTAAATTTCATTCGTCCACGTTACAATAATTCCCTCATTGTTACCATTTCCTCCATTACCAGTTAGTGGTCACTGTTTACCCGGACATATGAATAATTTTGGAAATTCTATAATTCGAAAAACATTTTTACTAAGATTTTCAGCTTATCGGAAAAATTGAATGATCCATTTGCGTGTACTCTAGGTTGTTACAATGATTTCTGGCGGATGATTGGCAACATGCTGGTCTTGTGCTTCCTAGTTGGAAGAAAATCCAGATTTTTTTATGTCACCGTGAATTTCAGTCATAGTTTTGGGGTTGACTATTAGAATTTTTGGAATACTTCTGCATATTTATCACTGTTTTCAGAATGAACGGTAAATTACATTTACTGGTCGTAACGACAGATGGTTTTGTATACATATATCCGGTAGAGGCAGAAGGAGGTGAACTGACGCTGTTACGACAACATAAAGTCACCATAAAGGTTTATATTTTTTCTTTTTAATGGAGAAAAGTAGTTATATTTGATATTTCAACCATTCTCATAATAATTTCAGCGCTGAAGGGATCTTCCAATTACTGATCATATAGTTTGGAGTGCATCTGGATGAAAAACTTAAGCTTTCCTTTTCCAGAAAGTAGTAACATAGGGAAACACAATATACTAAAAGTACCATGCATCACCAATTATGAACAAATTAAAACTTTCAGCATGCTCCGGCGATCCATGCACATGATCCATCCGAAAATCAAAGTAATGAAGATAACGATGGAACGAGAAGTGAAGAAGGACAAACTGCGGATAGACATATAACAGACGACTTTCCACCGCTAAATCATTCCACCACATAGATTTTACCATAATTCTGCTCGGTAAAAAATATAAAATTCTTACAAAATCGATGGATCCACTTGTACAGCATGCATTCATAAAAAACTTAAGGCTTGTAAATTACATTGTAAATGATGTTTGTGAGTAATTTAATTCCATATATTAAATTGCATCTGAACTCATGGAGTCTTCTGAGGTTGTATTTAGCTCCACGCTATTTGTCGGATTTAGTTGTTCAAAGTTAATTTTATGTAATTTGAATATGGAGTCAATATTCTGTATCCTGCTTCATTGCTTTGCTTGTGATTTAGTTCCTCAAAAGGAGGATCAGGGTTCATTACCACTTCTCTTACATTTTCATCACTTCATTATTTTTTTGAGTGAAAAGAAATTGATGATTGTCAATATTTTTATAGTTAAATACGATTTGGACTCAATAACTCATTATTAGGTTGTTCCCAAAATGACGTTTAATGGGTGCTGAACAGATCTTCCACTGCACTGTTTCCTGTGAAAATGCCATATTTTTGTGAAATTCTTTTTTGACATTTTTCATTCTTCATACTTTTTCATACATATTTTTCATGTTTTCTTTTTATTTGCACAATTCCTTTTCTTTAAACTATTGCTTTAATTTTTGTTCGAAAAGAATTTTGCATTTGTAAATTTTGTGTATTTGATTGAGCAAATCTTTTGTATATTCTCACTTTCAGCATTATCTTGAGGATCATTTCTTTCTTTTCGAAATAGTTCCATTTTTTATTAACTTTTTTACATGTGGTAGTATAGTTCGTTCCATCCACTTCAACTGCACAAAAACAGTTTTGAAAATCGGCATCAGAATGTTGTAGATGTTATTATCTCCGCTATCACTTAAAATGATTTCTTGTCATCGATAAGCTGACAAGAATGGTTTTGAGAAGTAATGCTTTATTGATATTTAATTATACAGGTTTGACAAATATTTTACAATAAAAAGCAGCTTTGTTCAAAACATGTAATAGATATGATGAACTCTTTGGAAACATTTAAGTTTTAAAAAATTGTGCCAATATTTCCTGTGTATTTTGCCACTGTTGTTGCTATGGACATGGTCAATGGTTTGAACAATATCGACAAGTCTTTGGACATTCAATTGCCATCAGCGAAATGTAACGTGGATCTCGGCAGAGTGTTATATATTTTCGACAATCCGAACGACCGTTTGGACCATTCAGGTCAACGCAGGTACCATTTGCAAGTATACCTGCAGGGAAGTCTTTTTTTTTTATTGCGTAGTGATTGATTTTTTTGAGTTTCATGGGCTTAAGAAAGATCCAAATTACTTACTTAATCCTTTCCATATATACGCTAAGAGGTAAATTATTGTTTTTTTCTTTTATCTTCTAAAATAAATTTTTATCGAAATTTCGTAAAAGAAAAAAGTAAACCTGTACGAAATGATGGAACAATTAAATCCGAACAACGCCCGCATGTTAAGGGACATTGCCAGGTCATCAGATTATAATACACATCATTATCACAAAGATAATAATACTTCGTACAATCCGAATCACGATTAAGCGCAGATGAATCATAGCATAACTCTAAATAATAAAAGGCATTTGGAGTTTTATGCAACATCATCACTTCAGTGTGTGGCGATAGAAATTCAAGTTTAGAAATTTGATGTACTACCTGCTACAATGAGTAGTAGGGTGTTAATTGTAAATTTTCTATTATTTCAGCCAAATTTCAAAATTTCGCTCCAAGCTCAAATTAATCAAATAAGTTAGATTGAAATTTAATAAAATACGTACGTGAAGTTGAATTATCATTCTCTTGTGCTGAAAATAAATTCAAATCATTTTTGAATTTCCATTTCTCTCATCAACCCATTATTTGCTTACTTTATGACATTTTGAAATGACTATTTTAAAATAATTGACATAACAAACAGCATTATTTTTTGAACTCTGAATTGTTTTTATTTTCTTGCTTTCATCTTTCGATATGATTGGTCGAAACAACTTTTTAAATACTTTCAATTCAGTAGTGATACAAAGGAATCTGCCTGTAAGTAAAGATAGTCAAATTCGATGGTGATTTGATAGTTCGATCAATTTCGTCAAATTCGATGGTATTTTGATAACTTTTTTTTGTTTGAAAATTTGACTCAAACTACACAAATTAAGAAAACATTTTGAATGAAATCATTCTTCACCAAACAATTCATTAAATATAATGAAGATATCGAAGGAACAATAAGCCTTTTCAGTTCAAGCCTACAAAAGTCTAAAGAATGAGTTTAATATATGTTTGACATACTACAAGATATTTGGTTGACAGAAAGGAAACATACATTCTACATCCATAGCCTGAGCCATTTTTTTGTTCACGTCTTGATCCATCTTTTCGTTCTCACCCGGAACCACTTCCCTGTTCATGCCTTGAGCCATTTCTTTGTTCATGTTCTGAGACAATTCCATGTTCGTGTCATGAGCCAAATCTTTCTTCATGTCCTGAGTCACTTTTTCGTTTATGTCACGAGCCAGTTCTTTGTCTATGCCACGAGCCAGTTCTTTGTTCATGCTCTGAGGCAATCCCATGTTCGTGCCATGAGCCAAATCTTTCTTCATGGCCTGAGGCACTTTCTTGTTTATGTCACGAGCCAGTTCTTTGTCCATGCCACGAGCCTTTTCTTTGTTCATGCTCGGAGTCAGTTCCTTGTTCATGCCACAAGTCAGTCTGCTATTCATGGCCTGAGTTTTTGTCTGATACTGACTTAATAGGAATAGAAGAAAAATCGCTAGACTATCGTAACCGGAGAAAGAAGCCATATTCACCGGGTTGCTTTCGTCTATTTACATCCCATTAGCTTCATACCTTTGAATCACTGTTTTTTTTGTAAACATTGCATATCAATTTTGCAAATTTCTGCAAGCTGCATAAACAAAAGGTACTCTTATTATCACTTTGACAAAACACAAACGAAAAATACGCAACAAACAAGCGATAATGGTTAAATGACAGAGGACAGGAATTCAATTCTCTTCGCTAAAACAAAGGGTAAGAATTGACACTTGAATTTCAGACTTTCAGAAACTTTCATAATCAATCTTTCTCAAGTCGTCACGATTTTTCGACGTTTTTTCAATTACATGGAAGAATGGAAAATTGATCAAACTTTGACCAAATTGATCAAATTGATCAAACTCAAGAAAATTGATCAAACTGTTAGGTTCACCTTTCACTTCAAAAAAAAAAAAAATTTGAAAAGCAGCTATAAAAGTAACGGTATCATATGAGGAACTAAAAAATGGAAGCTCTTATCACAATTTAATTTTTATATCCGAATAAACATTTCAATTGGATGGAATTGGACACATATATTGGTTAACTTAGGTAAGTAAAATAAACTTTGAATAAACCCGCTAATCATTCATTTCACCCACTTCTTAAACTTTTCCAATCAAATTTCAACAAAATAAGCATAATTCTACAATTAAAGATAAAAGTTAGCTTGCTGTCCATTAGTGATAAGTGATAATATTTAAAATAACAGCAGTAAGTTTTTACAACCAAATATTTTTTCACTTCCAACTGATGCTAGTGCAGGATTTATGCGAAATTTATTGATTTATTTGTTGTTATATTCAAACAAATAGATGAATGACAGAGCAAACTGTCTAAACAAATAGTTTCCAGCTGTCTGAATTGCTTATCGATTACAAATTTATCAACAAATTGAAATTTATATTCAACATCATTTTGGTATCATTCGATAAATGATCATTTTGGCTTTTATTTGTTAAATTTGAAACGTAAAATATGCATCATTGTAAAAAATGAAATGAAAGACACGCTTCTGATGAAATGGTACAGAACGACAACAAGATTCGAAGTTTTCTTGAAAAATTATAACTTTTGATTCAAATATCTTTCCAAATAGATACCACTGTTATAGGCATAAGAATGTTTCTAAGAGTTGCTTCTGCTAAAAAATTGGAAAGAAAGCAAAACTTTTATTTGAAAAAAAAAAAGAAATCAAGTCGTTAGATGTAGAATAAATAGAAAATCAATCTAGAAGTTAACGATTCTGTCAAGATTTTTTTGTTAACGTTCTATTCTTCGTAAATTCATCAACCTTTATATGGTAGGCTCGATACCTTAAATGATCTGTACGAGAAGCCTTAGCCCAATAAGTAATATTGTCGAAACAACTGAACAAATTAGTAAAAAAAAAAAAGAAAAAAAAAAGAAACTAACTTTAATAAACAAAACCCAAAACATTGATAATAGTAGGCACTGGTTTAATTTCCTCAGGTGTTCTATTGCGAATACTATTTAATAAGAAATTAAGAAAGAATTCTTTCGTAAATGACAAGGGAATTCGTAAATCTCAAAAATGAAAAAAAAAGAAAAAACTCGTGGAAAAAAAGTATCAAAAAAAAGCAGAAACAGAACTACAAGTTCACATTTGTTGATAAGATTAGTGGCCAAATATCATGTAGTAATAATGTTTAGGCATAATTCATTACTTGTAATAACACATCTTAACTAAACAAGCCAATATTGGGTAAACTGTAGTAAGGAAATTAATATACTTTGCACTTCTCCATTACATTAGATAATTAGGATAGGGTTAACTTTACTAGTCTGTCATTAATAAGATCATAAGATTAGGATAATATTCCCAAAATAAAAAGTTAGATCATAAAACAAAAATGATCATTTAAATGATTATTGTTCATTGCTGAAAGAATAACGAGTTAAAATATCAAAGAATTTAGAGAAGAGAATTCTATTAAGAATTTTTCATTAATTAATTGGTAATTTCCTATGAATATATCTTAACTATCTCAGCATTGAGCAGAAAAAATGTACGAGAGCAATTCTTTCCCGACATATCATCATTACAGTATTTTGGATACCATTGAAATACTCATCATTCATGCAGCAAATACCCCGTATTTGAAATGGGAGATCGAAGTAATCACTCATATTCCTCTACGACGATTCAAAATTCAAAGCAAAGTGATGCAAATATCAGAGCCATCAT